TCCGGGATTGGTGCCGGCAGGCACGTCTCTCGCTGCGCGCTTGTTAATTTGGATCCCACCGTGGTCGATGCAATGCGCTCATGCATGTGCCGTAAGCTGTTCCATCCCGAGCAGCTCATTTCTGGGAAGGAGGACGTCGCCCACGATTTCGCGCGAGGGCACTACACGACCGCCAAGGAGATCGTCCACCTTGTGCTCGATCGGATCAGGAAGCTTGCAGACAACTGCGCTGGCCTACAGGGCTTCACGATCTACACTGCGGTCGGCGGAGGCACAGGCTCTGGTCTCGGCTGCTTGATGCTGGAGCGTTTGTTTTGTGGGCTGCGGGAAGAAGGCGAAGGTTTTATTCACCGTGTGGGCGTGCCCTCTGAAGCCTGGCACTGTGCCAGCGCAACCTCAGAGCGCATGCAGGTTCATTATGGCGAGGTCTCCGAGCAGGCTCGGTCGAGTCATCTTGATACCGTTTCGGAGGCCGTTTCGCGATGCTGTACCGTGGCGGAACCATGGCTATGTGGTTTCGAAGAACACATGTCATCCAGCATGGACTCCAAATAGTGGTCTCTTGTAGTCTGCGCGATGCAATCTAGGTGGTGCAATTTCAGTGGCGCAGCCCATGCGGTGCAATCCATGTTGTGCACATTGATTTTAGGAGCATTTGGAGTTGTTAATTCCTTTGCTTGTGTAATTATTTGCAAAATCCTTGCGGCGGCGATTGCGATTCCTGCTTGGTCATGGCTGGCGCATCTCTGCGGCTTCGTTGGCGGGCGCAAGCTCCCGCGCAGAGGGAGTAGCTAGTTTGGTACAGCCAGTGCGGCCTCGATGGCGCTTACCAATGGCAGCGCCCCAGCGCGTGTAAAAGGCCGTTGGCGCTCGGACGCTTCGATGCGTGTCGGTGACTCGGACGGGCGCGGTATTATGATGACGCCGACCACAGCGGCAACGATGATGATAGTACCGATGGTGGTGACGATGATGACGATGACGAAGGCAAGGCCAATGGTGGCGCCGCTGCCGGTAACGCCTATGACGATGATGCCCATGTGTCGCTGACGATGTATAAAGAGGATTTCGACATGTGCGCGCGGCCGACACGCCCCAGTGGTTCGGATGGTATTGGCGTGGACGCTTCGCGCAACCCCACCAGCCCATCCAAACACGATGCCGATGCGAGTTGCGCGTATTAGGGATGTGGGACCTGTTGGGGCTTCTTGGGGGCCGCTTGGGAGCCTCTTCGGGGCGTTGTGAGGGCTTTTTGGGTCCGCTTGGGCGCTACTTGGAGCCATCTTGGGGCCCTCTCGGGGCTCTCTTGGGGGCCTCGGAGGCTTTCTTGGGAACGTTTTGGAAGGGTGAGGTGTTCATTTGACACCACCTTTCTGGAGCCCCCACAGTCGTCTCTCGAGGCCCTCTGGGGGCGATCTTGGGGCGTTCTCGGGCGCCCTTGGGGCCGTCTTGGGGCCATCCTGGGTCTCTGTTGGGGCCATCCTGGGGCTCTCTCGGGGCTCTCTTGGGGGCCTTGAAGGCCTTCTAGGCCTTCTTGGGAACATTTTGGAAGAGTGAGGTGTTCATTTGACACCACCTCTCTGGACCCCCCAGAAGTCGTCTTCTGAGGTCCTCTAAGGGCACTCTTGGGGCCGTCTTGGGGCCATCTTGGGTCTCTCTTGTGGCCGTCTTGGGCCCTCTTGGAGCCATCTTGAGGCTTCGGGAACCCATCGTAAACGAACGGGTCAGGGGGCCATCCTCATTGATTATTCCCAGCCCTCCTTGGTGGGGTATTCATTTTGAATAGAGCACTGCTCGCGCGTCCTTCCTCCCGCCTCCCTCTTTTCTCCTCTTGCCTTGTGCGTACCTCTTGTGTGCGCATTTTGCCTGCGGTACCTCTTGTGTGTGCATCTTGCTTGGGGGCTGCGATCTGCGAAACTGTTGCCACTTTCGAGAGCTGCTGGTGGGTCCAGTGGAGTGAGGCACCACGCGGATCTGAGCGAGACCTCCACGTTCCTGGGTGGCTGCGATCTGCTACACTGTCGCCACTTTCGAGGGCTGCTGGTGGGTCCAGCGGGGTGAGGCACCGCGCGGATCTGAGCGATACCTCCACGCCCCTTGGGGGCTGCGATCTGCGAACCTGTCGCCACTTTCGAGGGCTGCTGGCGGGTCCAGCGGAGTGAGGCACCGCGCGGATCTGAGCGAGACCTCCCCGTCTCTGGGGGGGCTGCGATCTGCGACACTGTCGCCGCTTTCGAGGGCTGCTGGCCAGCGGAGTGAGGCACCGCGCGGATCTGAGCGATACCTCCCCGTCCCTGGGGGCCTGCGATCTGCGACGCTGTCGCCACTTTCGAGGGCTGCTGGCGGGTCCAGTGAAGTGAGGCACCGCGCGGATCTGAGCGAGACCTCCCCGCCCCTGGGGGGCTGCGATCTGCTACACTGTCGCCACTTTTGAGGGCTGCTGGTGGGTCCAGCGGGGTGAGGTACCGCGCGGATCTGAGCGGTACCTCCCCGTCTCTGGGGGGCAGCGATCTGCGACGCTGTCGCCACTTTCGAGGGCTGCTGGCGGGTCCAGTGAAGTGAGGCACCGCGCGGATCTGAGCGAGACCTCCCCGCCCCTGGGGGGGCAGCGATCTGCTACACTGTCGCCACTTTCGAGGGCTGCTGGTGGGTCCAGCGGGGTGAGGCACCGGGCGGATCTGAGCGAGACTGGGGGGCTGCGATCTGCGACGCTGTCGCCACTTTCGAGTGCTGCTGGTGGGTCCAGCGGAGTGAGGCACCGCGCGGATCTGAGCGAGACCTCGCCGTTCCTGGGGGGCTGCGATCTGCGACGCTGTCGCCACTTTCGAGGGCTGCTGGTGGGCTCGTCACTTTCGACGGCTGCTGGTGGGTCCAGCGGAGTGAGGCAGTGCGCAGACCTGAGCGGGACCTCGCCGTCCCTGGGGGCCATGTCATGTTGTTGCTGTCCCGCCGACGTTTCAAGCCCCTTGCCCAACGTCTCCTTTTGGACTATGCGTGTTCCTTAGTGACTCAGGGGTTCACTTAGTTACTCATCGTTTTTCCCTTGATTGGGGACCTGCGAACCTTCCGAATGCCGCTCGCAGAAGTATATGCGTCCATGTCACGTCGCCGCCTTTCGTCAAGTCTCCCAAGCTACTCCTGCCCCACATTGCGCAGGGATTGGGTATGTCGCCAGGGTAATTTTTGTTCCCAACCCTCCCTTGGTTTGGCACTCGTTTTAAATAGGGCACTGTGGTCGCGTCTCCTCCTCCTTCTCCTTCTCCCGCTCTCCTCCCTCCTCCCTTCCGTCTTCTATCTCCTCACGGGGCCTTGCGAAATGTCGCCATTTTCGTAGGCTCTTGGGAGGTTCAGCGGAGGTACGTCTCATTCAGATCACCACTCGACCTCGCCGCCTTTTTCGTTGGCTTTGCGAGGGCCAGCGGAGTGACGTCTTACGCGGATCACCACGAGACCTCGCCGTCCCCTGGGGGGTTGCGATCTGCGAAACTGTCGCCACGTTCGTGGGCTTCTGGGACGGCCAGCGGAGTGACGTCTTACGCGGATCACCACGAGATCTCGCCGTCCCCCGGTGGGGGGGCTGCGATCCGCGAAATTGTCGCCACTTTGGTGGGCTTCTGGGAGGGCCAGCTAAGTGACGTCTTACGCGGATCACCACGAGACCTCGGCGCCCCCTGGGGGGCTGCGATCTGCTACACTGTCGCCTCTTTCGTGGGTTTGGGAGGGCCAGCGGAGTGACGTCTTACGCGGATTACCACCAGATCTTGTCGTCCCCCGGTGGGGGGCTGCGATCTGCGAAACTGTCGCCACTTTCGTGGGCTTCTGGGATGGCGCGAAATTGTCGCCACTTTCGTTGGGGTTTTTGGAGGGCCAGCGAAGTGATATCTTACGCGGATCGCCACGAGACCTCGCCGCCCACTGGGTGGTTGCGATCCGCGAAATTGTCGCCACTTTCGTGGGGTTTGGGAGGGCCAGCGGAGTGACGTCTTACGCGGATCACTACGAGACCTCGCCGTCCCCCGGGGGGGCTCTGCGATCTGCGAACGTGTCGCCACTTTCGCTGGCTTCTGGAAGGGCCAGCGGAGTGACGTCTTACGCGGATCACCACGAGACCTCGCCGTCCCCTGGGGGGCTGCGATCCGAAAACTGTCGCTACTTTCGTGGGTTTCTGGGAGGGCCAGCGGAGTGACGTCTTACGCGGATCACCACCAGATCTCGTCGTCCCCCGGTGGGGAGCTGCGATCTGCGAAAGCGTCGCCACTTTCGCTGGCTTCTGGAGGGCCAGCGGAGTGACGTCTTACGCGGATCACCACGAGACCTCGCCGTCCCCTGGGGGGCTGCGATCCGAAAACTGTCGCTACTTTCGTGGGTTTCTGGGAGGGCCAGCGGAGTGACG